CCACACCGTACAACTTGGATAGTTTCTATACCCACACCGTACAACTTGGATAGTTTCTATACCCACACCGTACAACTTGGATAGTTTCTATACCCACACCGTACAACTTGGATAGTTTCTATACCCACACCGTACAACTTGGATAGTTTCTATACCCACACCGTACAACTTGGATAGTTTCTATACCCACACCGTACAACTTGGATAGTTTCTATACCCACACCGTACAACTTGGATAGTTTCTATACCCACACCGTACAACTTGGATAGTTTCTATACCCACACCGTACAACTTGGATAGTTTCTATACCCACACCGTACAACTTGGATAGTTTCTATACCCACACCGTACAACTTGGATAGTTTCTATACCCACACCGTACAACTTGGATAGTTTCTATACCCACACCGTACAACTTGGATAGTTTCTATACCCACACCGTACAACTTGGATAGTTTCTATACCCACACCGTACAACTTGGATAGTTTCTATACCCACACCGTACAACTTGGATAGTTTCTATACCCACACCGTACAACTTGGATAGTTTCTATACCCACACCGTACAACTTGGATAGTTTCTATACCCACACCGTACAACTTGGATAGTTTCTATACCCACACCGTACAACTTGGATAGTTTCTATACCCACACCGTACAACTTGGATAGTTTCTATACCCACACCGTACAACTTGGATAGTTTCTATACCCACACCGTACAACTTGGATAGTTTCTATACCCACACCGTACAACTTGGATAGTTTCTATACCCACACCGTACAACTTGGATAGTTTCTATACCCACACCGTACAACTTGGATAGTTTCTATACCCACACCGTACAACTTGGATAGTTTCTATACCCACACCGTACAACTTGGATAGTTTCTATACCCACACCGTACAACTTGGATAGTTTCTATACCCACACCGTACAACTTGGATAGTTTCTATACCCACACCGTACAACTTGGATAGTTTCTATACCCACACCGTACAACTTGGATAGTTTCTATACCCACACCGTACAACTTGGATAGTTTCTATACCCACACCGTACAACTTGGATAGTTTCTATACCCACACCGTACAACTTGGATAGTTTCTATACCCACACCGTACAACTTGGATAGTTTCTATACCCACACCGTACAACTTGGATAGTTTCTATACCCACACCGTACAACTTGGATAGTTTCTATACCCACACCGTACAACTTGGATAGTTTCTATACCCACACCGTACAACTTGGATAGTTTCTATACCCACACCGTACAACTTGGATAGTTTCTATACCCACACCGTACAACTTGGATAGTTTCTATACCCACACCGTACAACTTGGATAGTTTCTATACCCACACCGTACAACTTGGATAGTTTCTATACCCACACCGTACAACTTGGATAGTTTCTATACCCACACCGTACAACTTGGATAGTTTCTATACCCACACCGTACAACTTGGATAGTTTCTATACCCACACCGTACAACTTGGATAGTTTCTATACCCACACCGTACAACTTGGATAGTTTCTATACCCACACCGTACAACTTGGATAGTTTCTATACCCACACCGTACAACTTGGATAGTTTCTATACCCACACCGTACAACTTGGATAGTTTCTATACCCACACCGTACAACTTGGATAGTTTCTATACCCACACCGTACAACTTGGATAGTTTCTATACCCACACCGTACAACTTGGATAGTTTCTATACCCACACCGTACAACTTGGATAGTTTCTATACCCACACCGTACAACTTGGATAGTTTCTATACCCACACCGTACAACTTGGATAGTTTCTATACCCACACCGTACAACTTGGATAGTTTCTATACCCACACCGTACAACTTGGATAGTTTCTATACCCACACCGTACAACTTGGATAGTTTCTATACCCACACCGTACAACTTGGATAGTTTCTATACCCACACCGTACAACTTGGATAGTTTCTATACCCACACCGTACAACTTGGATAGTTTCTATACCCACACCGTACAACTTGGATAGTTTCTATACCCACACCGTACAACTTGGATAGTTTCTATACCCACACCGTACAACTTGGATAGTTTCTATACCCACACCGTACAACTTGGATAGTTTCTATACCCACACCGTACAACTTGGATAGTTTCTATACCCACACCGTACAACTTGGATAGTTTCTATACCCACACCGTACAACTTGGATAGTTTCTATACCCACACCGTACAACTTGGATAGTTTCTATACCCACACCGTACAACTTGGATAGTTTCTATACCCACACCGTACAACTTGGATAGTTTCTATACCCACACCGTACAACTTGGATAGTTTCTATACCCACACCGTACAACTTGGATAGTTTCTATACCCACACCGTACAACTTGGATAGTTTCTATACCCACACCGTACAACTTGGATAGTTTCTATACCCACACCGTACAACTTGGATAGTTTCTATACCCACACCGTACAACTTGGATAGTTTCTATACCCACACCGTACAACTTGGATAGTTTCTATACCCACACCGTACAACTTGGATAGTTTCTATACCCACACCGTACAACTTGGATAGTTTCTATACCCACACCGTACAACTTGGATAGTTTCTATACCCACACCGTACAACTTGGATAGTTTCTATACCCACACCGTACAACTTGGATAGTTTCTATACCCACACCGTACAACTTGGATTGTTTCTATACCCACACCGTACAACTTGGATAGTTTCTATACACACACCGTACAACTTGGATAGTTTCTATACCCACACCGTACAGCTTGAATAGTTTCTATACCCACACCGTACAACTTCGATAGTTTTTATACCCACACCGTACAACTTGGATAGTTTTTATACCCTTATTACGTAAAAATTGCACACAGTCCATATCCTTTCTTATCACTCTTATACATTGTAAATGGTTTACCGATGATCTATCAGCACATTTCATGATGGAAATGACTGAAATTTCACATCTTTTGTGAAAGAGATATATCTACTGACCAGTAGCCTATCACTAGTAAGGCAAAGCACACCACATTTTTGTGACAGCTGCCAGGTTTTCTGTGTTTACCCGAATCAAAGTACCAATCCCCCTACCATGTGACGTGTGTATATAGTACCTGGTCAAAAGGACATGTATTAATTGGCAAATTTACTGAAATCACTACATCTATCTTATGATAAAAATACAATAACATTTCTTAGCATATATTTTTTTCATTTCACAATCACATTAGACTACAACATAAATCAATTATCTTTGGATAATATGCTGTACAACACAAAATGTGAATTCCTGTCCAAGTAAGCAAAAAAAGTTGCATTAATTACCATTTGTAACAAAACTAACATTCATATATGTGCAGGTGATACTTCGAATGTTTCCTGTGTTCTCTGTATTGGAAATAAAGTCATGAAAACACCTTCAACTTGTTATATTTAATCGCTTTTATTTGGGAAGGAAAAACATGCAGAGGCTAGGGCTCAATATAAGCCGGTGATCACATGAGGATCCTAGCTTCTTACTTTCTCTTTACAATACCTTAACTGTAAGAATTAACATGCATGCACAATTGGCCAAAGTACTACACCCTCAAAACAAAATATTTAAGTTGTGATTGCCGGCTCCCAACAAGCAATTGTAGACTCTTTTTGGTCCCAAGAGTTAGGAGGTTTCTGTACTATTTTATTAAGACAGAAAATGCTGCAAAATCTTTAAAATATAAAAGTAGCAACGAACATGAGTGTACAGAACAAAAATACATTTTGAGATATTGCAAATGCCAAAGTTTAGTTGATGTGCCGAAAATCCTGTAAAACACCAAAACAACTTTTGGGACGTATATAGAAACATTGTGGAACTAAAACAACTTTTGGGAGGTATATAGAAAAATTGTGGAACTAAAACAACTTTTGGGACGTATATAGAAACATTTATTTGAGGAACTAAAACAACTTTTGGGACGTATATAGAAACATTGTGGAACTAAAACAACTTTTGGGACGTATATAGAAACATATTGTGGAACTAAAACAACTGTGTACCTAAATTTCTGTACATCCCCCCCTCCCTTGGCCAAAAAACTGGCTTTACATTTTTTTCGTTAATATTGGTAAACCACTGATTGTTGTAAATAACATAAAAAGGTATACAACAAAAGACAATGAAAGTTATATAGTAATAGGGTTAGGGTACATCAAGTCATCTATGACAATATAGGATATAATGTTAATATATACATCACAATTTATAGAAACACTTGACATTTACATTTATGATAACTTATGTACCAATAATTAGTGAGTTTATACATGTCTATGGTTCTTTTATTAAATTAATATGGTACATGTTATATAATATACCTGTTACAAATGAACCAAAAAGACCATTGAAGTGTATTGTATATCTAATGGGAACAGGTTTAGGCACTTGGAAGTTATCAGGGGAATACAAGACACCTTATCATATTGACAATTGAGGTTTAAATACTGACCTGTACTGAAGTAACAAAACATGTAACACATCAAAATCACGTCAGTCAGCAATTTTCAGTAAACATTGAAATTGTGGGGTTTAATTTAACACACAAAGGTATGTAACTCACAACATAACTAATTATTTTATATATTAAGAAGTAGATTGTGACAACATCCCCACGTGTTGTTGTTCTGTTTAACCACAACATGTGCTGGGGTATGCAACATATTGTTGACGTGTTGACCAATAACAACCATTTAGTTGTCTCCCCTTACTCGATTAGACTAAAAACACATGCTGGAATGTGAGCTATTTTCAAACTTTCCACGTCGTTTCTGGCGGAAATCCTGTGTTTTACAGGTGCTACATGTACCAGTTCATCCTTCAAAGTTGTTGAGTTGGTTAAATACACTACCCCATCCCCGTATCCCCCGAAAGCACACCGTAAGGTTGTTGCATGTTATGTTAGTAAAGTGGACAGCGTTGTACTCACCTGTCTCGCGGATCTATCCAGGTCGTCTGCTGAGTGGAATGGTCTATAAAGAACACTTTCCCATCGAAGTCACGGCATTCCTCCCATCCGTCTGGCAGGGGTAGTACCCCGGACCGATTCCTTGGCATATTTCATCGACAACGGTTTTGTTTTACCTCCAAATCGTAATCTCTTTCAACCGATCCTCCATTTTTCTTTTCTGCCATTCCTGATTAGCATGTGTGACGTCAGAGAATCCATTCATTTCGTCACGAGGTCAGCCAATCAGAGCAGTCATGGAATTCCTTGGTATGTGTATGTAACGTAAAGACATGCCACAGGCACAGTATCAAATCCCTCTGGCCTATTATTTAAAAGTTATATATCAGATTGTATAAAACTAACCAAGAACATTTGTCACATTATCTCGCTCCACATGTTTAAAAAAGACAACTGTAAGTTAACGTTATATTATTTGTCATTTGTCACATAGGAAACATTAGTTATATCAGGGACGTATATATATATTGTAATATATATGGGGCAAAGAAGTAATTCCAACAGTGTGATATTAGATTAGTATGCAGTCGTAGTCCACGGTAAAGTACAAAGGGATCTAAAATCCGTAACGTTTTGATTACAAAATTTATAATCGTACACTATCTAGACCACATTTGCAGCTTCCTCTTGATTTTTTTTTACCTCAAATGGCCAAAGGCCTGTTACAGGTATACCCAAGTTAAGTTTTTAATTTGAACATGACTCCAATCTGTGATCATGATGTACTCTCGCTGGCCGCATATATCTCACGAGGCCCCACTCGCTGGCCGCATATCTCACGAGGCCCTCACCAGCAGTCCGATATATAGTTGTCATTTTGTCTGGCCTCGGTGTACAGGAGAAAGGAAGGCGGGTAATTGCCATAATGTTTAATCACGGAATTAGGTTGCCTAAGTCCTTGGTTTAATCAGAGACGTATATATTACATGTCTCTGGTTTACTTTGCTATGATCATCAACTGTAATTAATCAACAGGTGTCAGTGGCGGATCCAGAGACCTATCTGGGGGGGTTTCCAAATTTCCTGGGGGGGTTTCCATGTGGGGAAAAATTGAGGAAAATGGTGAAAATACATGATTTTTAAAGAAAATTCTAAGGGTGGGGGGGTTTCCTGAAGCCCATAAAACCCCTCTGGATCCGCCACTGGGTGTTGGTACAGGTACTGAGACTGATGTAGTCGATTATCCATCACCAGGTAATTATATATAAAACAAATTCCAGGTAATAACCCAGGTAACTAGATTTTACCTACCTTCAGTAGATAATGATAAAGATATAAACTAGGGGAGGTAACTCGAAGGAATTACAGACGTTTCGCCCCAAACCAGTTCGCCCCAATTTTGTTTCACATCGCCCCAACTTTCAGTTCAGTTCGCCCCAAAAGCTATATTGCTCCAAACATTTTGTATCTCCCCCATACAAGAATTTTTATTTAGAGTCGTGTTTGTAAAAATGCAACTTCTAGCTCAGAAAAGCTATTCTTACGACTATATATAACAATCAAAATTAATAGAAACAATAAAACATCACAAAGGTAGCATGCATCACAGATAGTTGAATAAAAAGTAGAATAGCACGGAAAGATTAAAGGTCATGCAAACATAAAGCTCATGCAGCATATACATTAATTTAAGTGACGTGTCAGTCTAATGTACATATATATGTGGCAATATGGCAAAAACTAAAAATTGACAGAATACATGCTAATATAGCATAGTCTAAAACAACAATACAAACATTTATGAAACAATAATTAGGAATTTACAGCTTATATATGACAACTATTTCTGGAGCAATAAAACGAAAACATAAAAGCCAAAAAATCAATCTTTCATCTTTGTACAGATTGAACATGTACAGATGGGACCATCCCAGTTGTGGACCAGCCTCCGGAATTCTAGGAAGTATTCACATCTCCGCAAATCGTTTGGAAGACTGTTCCACACCCGGGCCGCCTATAATGAGAAGGATTTCTGCCCACACCTTGTAGTTTGTACAGATAGGATGCTGACTGTGACATTCCTTCTCAGATCATAAGAAGAATCCTTAAGTTTAAGTCAAGTATATAACCAGGAGAAATCTTTTGTAGTATTTTAAAAACTACACAGCCCATATCTTTAAGCCTCTTAACATGTAAAAGAGTACTATTAGAAGATTTTAAAAGCTGACTAAAAGATGAGACATAATCACTCTCCACTAATCTCAGTGCACGCTCCTGAATCTTTTCCATCTTTCTCACACTTCTCAAACTAGTAAAGTGCCAAACCAGTGGACAGAAATGAAAACTGGATATAATAAAAGAATTGTATATGATTATCCTACCTCATTTTGTTAAAAAAAAACACTCAAATTCGTCGGTATATGATGAAAGAATGTACACAATGCTACATTTCTGTAAGTCACACCTTAAGGAAACATTACGTGAAAACGAACGTTAAAGGAAAAAAATATCACTTTTACTATTCCGGCTTTGCCAAACTAAAAAAATATGTATATGTATACACGAAACAAGCGTTATTCCCACTCACAAGAGCTCTTCTTACGACTATATATAACAATCAAAATTAATAGAAACAATAAAACATCACAAAGGTAGCATGCATCCCAGATAGTTGAATAAAAAGTAAAATAGCACAGAAAGGTTAAAGGTCATGCAAACATAAAGCTCATGCAGCATATACATTAATTTAAGAGACGTGTCAGTCTAATGTACATATGTGCCAATATGGCAAAAACTAAAAATTGACGGAATACATGCATACATAGCATAATCTAAAACAACAATACAAACATTTATGAAACAATAATTGGGAATTTACAGCATAAAAAATAACAATTACACAAGAAAGTAAGCAGCACTAAGAACTAAAACTTATATATGACAACTATTTCTGGAGCAATAAAACGAAAACATAAGAGCCAAAAAATCAATCTTTCATCTTTGTACAGATGGAACATGTACAGATTNGTGAATAGCTGCGATAACTAGTAGCTTTCTGACGACGAGACATTTGGGGCAGAGGAGGCCAGGTATGAATATTAGTACTAAGCTGTGACTATTTTTTTGTCAATATCAATTAATCACTTCTTGTTTAGAATAATTTCGCGTGGAAATAATCTAATTATCTTAAACATATACATCATCTAAAATGTAAAAATACATGCTAAACATAGATAGTATAGATATGATACGTTAGCTACCTTCGGCACGCGTGGAAATAATCTTATTATCTTTCACATATACCTGAATATTATTGTACAAATATACATATATATAGAGAGAGTTAATTATCAATTACTTACAACAACAACAACAACAACAACTTACATTAACAAATGATACAACATAATATAACACAAAGATATGTATCAAAGATATATATCATGCACAATACATTTCCTAACGTTGTTATTTAAATAAACACCTGCCATCAATGCGGCGACACAAAATGTTCAGGAACCAGGAAAATAATTTCCTCTCTGATCTAAGTAATTTACTACAGATCGTCGATATATTGATTTGCTGTTTGTTTAATAGCTACAGGCATCAAAGTTTGATGACAAGATGTACACATACCTAAAAGAAATATGTTCTTTATAATAGCACATGAAAACATGGATTTGTTGCTTATTTTAAAGCCACACGCGTCCAAGATATATACAAGAATCTTTATTTAGAGTCGTGTTTGTAAAAATGCAACTTAAGCTCACAAGAGCTCTTCTTACGACTATATATAACAATCAAAATTAATAGAAACAATAAAACATCACAAAGGTAGCATGCATCACAGATAGTTGAATAAAAAGTAAAATAGCACAGAAAGGTTAAAGGTCATGCAAGCATAAAGCTCATGCAGCATATACATTAATTTAAGAGACGTGTCAGTCTAATGTACATATGTGCTAATATGGCAAAAACTAAAAATTGACAGAATACATGCATATATAGCATAATCTAAAACAACAATACAAACATTTATGAAACAATAATTGGGAATTTACAGCATAAAAAATAACAATTACACAAGAAAGTAAGCAGCACTAAGAACTAAAACTTATATATGACAACTATTTCTGGAGCAATAAAACGAAAACATAAGAGCCAAAAAATCAATCTTTCATCTTTGTACAGAGAGAACATGTACAGATTGGACCATCCCAGGTGTGGACCAGCCTCCAGAATTCTAGGAAGTATTCACATCTCTGCAAATCGTTTGGAAGACTGTTCCACACCCGGGCCGCCTCAAACGAGAAGGATTTCTGCCCATACCTTGTAGTTTGTACAGATGGTATGCTGACTGTGACGTCCCTTCTCAGATCATAAGCAGATTCCTTAAGTTTTACCAAGTCAAGTATATAATCAGGAGAAATCTTTTGTAGTATCTTAAAAACTTCACAGCCCATATCTTTTAGCCTCTTAACATGTAAAAGAGTACTATTAGTAGATTTTAAAAGCTGACTAAAAATCTCAGTGCACGCTCCTGAATCTTTTCCATCTTTCTCACACTTCTCAAACTAGTAAAGTGCCAAACCAGTGGGCAGAAATGAAAACTGGATATAATCAAAGAATTGTATATGATTCTCAAACCTCGTTTTGTTAAAAAAAAACACCCACCTCAAATTCGTCGGTGTATGATGAAAGAATGTACACAATGCTACATTTCCGTAAGTCACACCTTATGGAAACATTACCTGAAAACAAACGTTAAAGGAAAAATATCACTTTTACTATTCCGGCTTTGCAAAACTAAAAACATATGGATATGTATACACGATACAAGAGTTATTCCCTCTTAGTACGGTAAACACAATCACATAATAATGGGAAAATAAGCAAGCTCGCTTTTTAGGAAGGGGGGCTTATATTTTTTTGGGGTGAACTATTTGGGGCGTTATTGGGTTTTTTGGGGCGAACTGGTTGGGGCGAAACGAATCAAATTTGGGGCGAATTGGTTATGGGATTTACGGTTTTAGGGCGAAACGTCTGACACCAAACTCGAGAATTACAGACGTTTCGCCCCAAAACCGTTTCGACCAAAACCGGTTCGCCCCAATATTTTTTCTTTCACATCGTCCCAATTTTCAGTTCAGTTCGTCTCAAATATGACAACCATATCGCCCCAAAATCCGTTTCGCCCCATAAGCTATAACGCCCAAAAAATTTGTATCTCCCTAACCGCTAC